AGGCACGCAACGCTGGCCTCGTGACATCAGTCTGCAGGAGGCACGCGATGAGTTTGAGGCACCGGGTGGAACAAAGAAAGGAAACGCAATCCTCAAATTGAGAAGAAAGTTTGCCCGACTGTCATTACACTCGACGTTTACTCAGCCTGGTAACGGAGTGTTCCTGAAAGCCCTGCCACAAACACAACGGAGGGCACGCAAAAACAAGCTGAGCACGCCTGAAGAAAAACAACCAAAAGCTGCAGAGACGCAAGACATTTTATGAAGTGGAGCGTTCCTCATTATCCAGATCCAACCGGCGGGGGCTCCGTGTCTCGCGCGCAAAGAGGCCAAAGAAGAGCCAGTTTTTAAGGCACGCGTTATCAAAGTAAAAGCTCCAGCATTACGTACTCTAGAAAGGAGGCCGCTTTCATCTACCTGTGGGCCTCATGCTATTAATATTAAGTGACCACATCTATGCTCAATCCTTTCAAACTGAAGCTGGGACATTTCATTTTCCTCCCGGCATGAGGAGGCTTCTTCCGTCGTCACCGCTTCCCTCTCTCTCCCTGGCCCGTTAAGCAAAGACCGCTTTCTGCCGTGGATGACGTGGCCCCCGAGCGCCCGCCCCCCCCGTTGGTTAAATCGCAGGGCCAACGTGACCGCAGTAAGCAAAAGATGGAAGGCTGGAAGACGGGGACGGCGACACAGGTGCAACCTTTCCGTTTGCGCCGCTAACGCCATTAAGGCAGGAATTCTTCTCGAGGCCTGATGCAGTTTGCAGGAGAAAAAGCAATAACGGTAATGATCTCATGTTTGCCAAGAAAAAAAACTGAATAAATTCTCTCTGCGGAGTGAGCGCAGCCGGGAACGACGGCGGAATGCCTGAAGTTCAGAGGAGATTATTTGCAGAAGCAGTGACGGGATTCGTCTAAAATAGATAAAGAATGGAGAAACAGTGGGCAGAGACAGGAACGGAGTCAAATTGACTTTATTTCATTTGAAGCCTCCATAGATGAGACACTTTAATAATAATCCCCAGTGTTTTCGTTTTTTTTCCCTTGCGGCTGCCACCTGGGAGGGCGAGAAACACCGAGAGGGAAAAGAGAAAGAAAAAAAAAAGATTGCAACCCCAGAAAGCATTTCAACGGCTCGGGGGGCTTCCGAAAGCACTGAGCGGGGTATTAATAGCAAAACAAGGAAGGCTGCTTGTACGGAACTCTAGGTGGACTATTTACCAGTGTAACAGGAAACGCTCTCACTGCACCAATCAAATGCTTTGCTAAAAGCCCAATTGTCTCGATCCGTTTCCACAGCGTGTTCCCGTTGTGTCCAGGTGTGGGATGTGCTGACTGGCGAGAAGACACCGTTCAGACGGGAGGACGGGGGTCGGGGGGGAGTGGGGAGCCATTTTCTGCACACTCCTTGGTTACACGGCGAGCCGCTCCGCGCCGCAGGCGATTAAAGCAAATTTAACAACTTTGCAACGTACCAATAATCAGACTATGCTTACGATGCTAGTCGGCTAATCACGGCGAATCAAAGCGCTGAGGCGCCCGAGCCACGTGCTTGTGATCCGGCCCTCGGGCGAAGTGACAGTCGAGGCGGCTGAACTTGTGACTGGATTCCACCGAGAAAAAAAGAAAAGAAAGCTAAAACGGGATTATGGGCTTCAATCACGCTCCGCCAAGGACGCGTCACCGGGCTCAATGTCAAAACGATACGGCGATAAGTTCTTTGACGAGTGTCTTTGATGGACGGGTCGAATACATACGGAGCAGCAGCACCGGATCCTCCCGGGGTTGTTTGCTTCTGAGGGATTTGGCCTTTTTTTTTTTTTTTTTTATTCCTCTCAAAAAGGGCCACCAGTCTCACTCGGACCAGAGCCCGGCCCAAAGAAGGGAACCGTCGTCGGTACGGAAAGAAAAAAAAGAAAAAACACAGAGGCAGCCGAGGGGAACAAGGGCACGACTCGGGGCGTCGGGGAAAGACATTAATCCGGTTAATAAGAAGCCATTCAAAGATGATTAATTTAACGAGCGGCGAGGTTAAAAGGAGACTGCCGTCTGTGAAGCGGGCCGAGCGGGGCCCACGGAAAGAGGGGCGGGGCCGCGCTGAAAGGAAGTGTCTCTCTCCCTCACGCAGAGTGCCTTAAATCTCCTTGAAGTTTCGGTAATTACAGAAGAAAAGAGCCCTCGCTCCACGCGAAGCGCCGTGTGGTTGCTACCGAGGTCCCGTTGTTGGCTCCCCTGTTCATAATTGGAACCGCCGCATTCGCAAGCATGTTTTCGCAGCTATTAAGGCTGTCCACACTTGGAACATCGTATGAACCGCCGAAACGAGCCGCCTCGCATTACAGAGTTGCCTGATATGCAAGAATTCTACCCGTACGAGCATTCATATACACACACACACACACACACACACACACACACACATATATACAGATGTATGTATAATGTGTAGATACACAAACAAGATTGCGCTGCAGAAACATTGCATGAGATTTAAGAAGAGGGCCCGAGCATCGCTTGGCAACAACAGAGTCATCGTTGGCAGAAGGTGAACGAAGGTGTCTCTCGGGTCTCGTAGGTGAACCGCGCTGAACGAGAGCGTCCTGAAGGCGTGGCAACACTTTCCCCCAGATTTAAGGTAAACAATGGCTGCGCCGTAAATAAACGTGACGGGAAGGGGGAGGAGAAATAGCGGCGAGCCCGGGGGCCGAGGGCCGGAGCCTTTGAGCGAGCCGCGAGGGCCGCTGCGAAATATTGCATCCGAGAGATGCTGATGCGCGAGATCCAAATCTGCTGAACTCCCGAAAAGCAGGGCGCCTCTTCCAACCCGTCGGAATGCTTCATTTAGAAACACAATCACTTGGTCCCATTGGTCTCATTGTAGCAACATTAAACAAACAAACAAAAAAAAAAAAAAAACTCACTTGACCTAAGCAGTTTTGCTTCAGGATGCTGGTGCAGAAAAGCCTCGATCCCTGTTGTTGTCCCGGGTCCCTGCTGGACCACCAACGCAAAGTTTTCTTTAATGAGCGCACACACGCACACACACACACACACACACACACACACACACACACACACGCTGCGAGTCCACTTCATTACGACAACCTTGTCTTGTTGCGGGGACGCCTGACGCAGCAGTGCCACTGATGTCTTACATATCCACTGCCGCAGGGCCAGTGAAGAGAGGGCAATGAGAACAGAGGAAGAACGGGCTGGGAGGAGAGGGGGGGGGGGCATCTGCCCTACCTAGCCTCAGCATCCTACTCACAAGACAAAGACCAACAGACGACTTCAAAAGGGAAAAACATTTTCTTTTTTCTTCTTTCTCGGGGATGGTCTCTGCGGGTTAATTAGAACACAAAGTCCCGCCTCCTCTGCCTCTGCAGGATGCATCCACGCGCACGCGATGAACGGTGAATACGTTGGCGAGGCCCAGGGTGACCTCTACCACCTTCACCCAACTATGGCACCACCCTCGGCCGGGCCTCCCGGGGACCGTTGGCCACTGAGAGAGGGCGGGGCTTATTGCTGCCGGCATCACTATCCGTCATTGGTACGGTGGCAACACGGACCAAGTCTCGTCCTTCCAGCGTTGAGGGAGCGACCCAACCAATGTGTTTACAAGGAGTTACTCAAAGAAAAAGGCACCAGATTGATGCATTTACCCAACACGGCCCCCAAAAAAACATTGTTTTGTCGGTCCCTTGTGAAAAATGTAACGTTTAATGCCCTCAATGTCACGTCAGTTGTCCCCCCGCGGCATGCAAAAAATCTATTTTTCTTTAGGCCCTATATCAAAGTTAGGGATTCTAGCATAGAGACAACACGAGAGGCAACACACTTACCACGGACGTGACAGATTAGAGCGAGGGGGGAAAAAAAGAACACAGCCCCATCTAGGCTCCGGCAATGCATCACGTTTATATGCGGCGGAGAGGCATTTGTGTCTCCTTAAGGACCCAAATAGGTAGAAGCGAGTGGGAGAGAGCGGAAGGAAGAGAGGGCAAAAATAAATACGTTACAGAGATAGAGAGAAAGAGGACAGGGATGACAGCTGGCCGGCCACTTCATGCATCTGGCAGGGGTGACTCGTGGAGCCGTAATGAAAATTCAGGGCGAGATCAGGATCAGTGTGAGAGGCGCCGCCATCCATCAGAGGACTCCCATTGAGGGAAGGAAGCTGCAATGATAACAGGACAATCTGGGGCTATATCTCTCCTCCGGTAGCTTTGAAGGTATTGCCTGCATGATATTAATGCACTGGCTCTTCATTTCTCTGGGTTGAACTGGGCGCATTGAGAGATATTTCACCTCCATATTGATACACACACGCGCGCGCACGCACACAAAAAAGAAAAGCGCTTGGTTTTGTTTTAATGGAAGGCAAAGGTGGCAGCACCACCTGTCTTAATTGGCTGGCAGGCGATTAAGGGGGATGGGCTTTGCCTTTGACAAGGGCAGCGTGTGGGAGCTCCCAAGAGTTGCTCGTTGCCAAAAAGGGAAGCGTCTCGTTGCCGGGGGGCCGCGGAAGGATGCGTTTGTTTTGTTCACACTAGGTCTTCTCCCCAGAGTTCCCGTCCACGACTGCATCGTTACCTCCACTCACGCCCCGGACCGGGATGCGGGAGTCCGTCCTTATCTGGTACCTCGTGGATGCAGGTTCAGATGGTTTTAATATAAAAAAAGGCCAGACAAACATCACAGCATTGCGGCGTGTGCTGCATGACAACAGTTCTCCCACCTACTAAATGGACTAAGCCACCCACAAAGTGGCCGTTTGTGTTTCAATTACAGTTTGTCTTCCATGCTTCCACCGCGATGACGGACGAGAGTAAGAACCTCACGGGGTGAAGTGAATAAACAAAACAAAACCTACCCATTTAAAAAAACACTTCTGCCCCGAGAAGCAGCGTTCTATACGAATTCAAGCGTTACCGCCAGGAGCAATCGAGCTACCGAGAGCCATTTTGCTGTCCAGCGAGGGCGCTCAAAGTCGAGCCCTACCTTCTCTTTCCTCAGCCGGCACGCGTCCTCGGCCGACACCAGGGTCTTGTAGTAGGCGCTGCGCTCGGCCGTGAAGTGGACCTTGGACAGGGCGCTCTCCACCAGCGCGACCGACAGGTTCACGCCCTCGATGTGCAGCCAGCCGATGAAGTTCCCCGCTTTGTCCATGCTCTCCACCTCGACCTCCACCTGGGCGAATACAGGGGGGGGGGAAGGAAGGGAGGGAAGGAGGCCAAGTTAGTGTTCAGATTCAATTACAGCAATGCAGCGACGGCAGGGGGGGGACACCACTGTTTTTAAATAAACCCATCAGGGCCCTGTGCGATGTATTGATGCGACACACACACACACACACACACACACACACACACACCTTTGCTGCGTTTCCGCTCAAATTTGTTTGGCACAAACAGTGTGAAGTCTCATGATCTTCAGGTCCCGATCGAGGCGCCGCCCCTCGACCCCCACCACCCTCCGTCATTAAAAACTGCGTCGGTGTAAAAACACTGAAAGCGCTGGCCTGTAGAAATCCCGGGGAACCGGTGGCTTTCACATTAGTGTGGCGTGTGCATTTCTACATTAATTAAAGACTTTTTTTCCGCGCGATGCAAATCATTCGCAATTAGCGACGGCCGAAGCCGCCGCTGCCGCCGGTTGACAAACGAGGGCAGCGGAACGGCCGACATTTACCACCACGGACTTAGACCAAATTCTGCCTATTCAGGCCAATTATCTATTCATTACATTTTGTTTCATAAGTGATGGACGATCGGGGAGAAAAGGGAAATCAATCGATTTTTCCTTTTTTTTTTTTTGGTTATCCTGCTCTAAAGCTTCCCGTCAGCGGGAAAGTGAGAGGGCAGGTGTGCCGGGGAGATAGGGGGAAGTCAAGCGATTAAGACTCGGGCTGCTTAGCCCTTTAGCCACGAGGGAAATCTGAGGGGAATTAAGTTTGTAAACTGCTCTGCCTTGTTCCCAACTAAAGTGAAAACGCTTTCATTAACGCACGCATAATCGGCTCTCTTATTAAGCTCAAAACTTGACAACCTCGGCACAGAGCGGCGACACACGCGCATTTCCACTGGCTCGACCCATTAAGCCGCCGGGCGGAGTGGGAAATGGCGGCGAGGGGTTGAAGGTCGCTACGACGGCGACAGCGCCTCGGAGAAAGGAAACTAATGTCTCCTTTTTTTTGTGTCCAAAAGTATACATCATGTGCTTGTATAATTACATCAATCGCAGTGAATGAATTCGTCAGCGTTGGTGGTCCCAGGCCATTGGTCTACCCTCACAGGTCCTGATCCAAGTCCGCTCACACCGCATCTGCCTCCGTTTCATCTGCGCTCTCTTACTCCGCTATCACCCCCGTTTTATCTCTCCTCGTGTCTCTAAGTGCGCAGGCAGGTTACGTAACGAGGCCATTACAGCGCCACTGGTCCTCAGAGCTCCCGAATGTCAAAAACGGGGACGAGAGCAGCGCCTCTGACGGATTAAAACAAGGTGTTGTGAAATGTTACGCAACAATGACAACGCTAGAGGAGGGTTGGATCCTCGAAGACCCTAAAACTGGGGAGATGCAAACGCCTTTGTCGGCTGGGTGGAAGGCCACTGGGACACTGGACCACCACCCCCCCCGGTCAGCACTCCGCTGAGCAGGTGAGGCCTCGTAAGCACCAAGTAGCTTAGTCGCAGTTCATAGGGGGTGAAAATCACGCACGGCTAAGTCCCATTTGTCTGTTAGCCTCCATATGGCTGATGATTTACAATCCTTGTGTAGAAGCTCACCACATCATCCCACCGAGATGAGAAAGCTATCAAGAGGTCAAGGAGATATCCCCGTTTTTTTTCTCGCCCGGTTCCTGGGAACCCTTAGGTTGGCTGAGGCCAAATGAAGTTTTCTGTAACAAATAGATGAAATGACCAACCGGGGCGCCGTGTGGGGAGATCACACACGGGGGCGAGGGCCCTCGATCATGCTTTTTATGTGTTCAGGGGTGAACACGTGACACGCACACACAGAGAGAGAGACACGTGAAAACACGCTGACGGGAGGGAACGGTTGGGGTTAAATGATTGGAAACAAATATGTTTCTATCATATTCCATCACAGGCCACTTCAAAATGAGAAACACAATTTGCTGCACTGCCAACAGTAATTAATGTGCTAGAAGATATGGGGAAAGTATGTGTGGGGTAAAGTTAACAAGCAGCAGACACACACACACATCTGTGCATATCTGTGTGTTGCATTACACGAACAGACCAATTTGTAGCAAGAAAAGCCAAACTACAAGCAGACCTTTCAGCGTAACCAATTAGTCCGTGGTCCTATTTGTCTTCATAGGACAGCGTCGTAACCAGACTGAAGTCACAAATATATGTAAATGGAAAAGCTTGGGTGACCAATATCTTGAAAGCATCATTAAATGAAGCGAAGCTGGCGTCCCAGCAGGCGTTGGGGGGGGAAAGAAGAAACGCGCTAATAGAAAGGCCGAAATGGGAATTTGAGGAGAACACTTTAATTCTATGAAAAGAATATCTTCCACAGGCAGATTATGGAGTTAAACTTGGAGGAGCTTTAGACAAAGTCTTTTGGTACAATATGTTGCACTTAACTGGAAAATTTGACTGACAGCAGCTTGTTTATCTAGTGAGAAATCTTTGCCAATAATGTCAACTTGCCCCAATTTAATTATTTCCAATCTAGTTTAGGGGATTTTTTTCTCTGTAAAATATATATTTAAATCAACACTTTCATTAATTATTCTGCCCTTCTTGAGCTTTGCATGTGTTAAGGTTGAATTTAAGGATACAAGATTTTGCAACCCATGAAGAACAAACATCCTTCCCATCTCTTCTTTACTCACACAGGAAAGCTCGCCATCCCTTTTAAAGTGAAGTAGCGCGGGTCACAACGGGGGGAGGACAGGGAGGCCGAGTGGAAGCTGCTTTGAGGAGAGCCCAGATGGCTCCCAGCGGAGGCTTCCTCAGAGCCAAAATGGCTCCCGTCGGAACACAAATGGGCTCGGGGTAATCTCATAAACGCCGGGATTGTGTCGACGCGGTGGACGGAATAGAGAGAGAAGGCAACACACACACACACACACACACACACACACACACACACACACACACACACACACACACACTCAGCCACGTGCATGCAGGCACTATACACATGTGCAGTCAGTCTCGACTACAAAAAGATAAAGCCATTTGGTACAACTGAAGGGAAACCTGGCCCGGGGGCACGTTTTAAGACCGCGGCACATTTAATTCACTTAGCCGTTTGAAAAAAAAGAATAATAAAAAGAATGAGTGCGGTAGGTGACACGTGGTTTCAGAGCCAAAAACTGCACCAGAAGAATTTCAGAAATTGGCAAACTCATTTTAAATACCTGGAGAGAGGGGGTGGGGGGGGGATTAAGGGGACCAGGGTGTGTCCACCGTCGCGTCCGGGCAGTCTGACATTTACTGTGGGTCAGAAGCTCAGTTCAGCGCTACGAATCCCCTCACCGGAGGACGGACGGACGGGGGGGCGGTCCACATAATGCGAGGCGCAGTGGGGATTGATCGCCGTCAGCCGACGCATTCCACCATCGATCACAGTAACTCGTTTAAAATCAGAGTTTCGCCGCACATTCCAATTGCTGAGATCACAGTTATCGCCGCGGAGATTTAAGTTCAAATTACCAGTCCTGCTCGTAAAAGCGTAAAGAGGCAGAGGCGGGGTTTTCCGGGATGCTGCCGTGTGTGTGTGTGTGTGTCTGTGTGTGTGTGCGCGTGTGTGTGAACGCCGGGAGGACGGACTGGCAGGTGGAGACGTTTTGGCGCTTCTTCATTCATTCTCATTAGCTTCTTTATTGCTACTCTACTCCGCCACTTAGAGTTGGCTCCCTCTAATCTCCGTGTGTGTAAAATCAAAGCAAAGCAAAGCGGACGGGGGAGGGGGGGGGTGGATCAATAGTTTTTAAGTAGTATAATATTTATGTGGGTCTTCTCGCGCCTGGCGGAGGGAATTTGAGCATTAAAGGGGATTTGGTGCTCATCCCGTTAATGAATTAACGCGTGCTGGTATGAATGCGCCGCACTCGGCCGACACGACGGGCTGCAGAGAGAACCGGGCATCGCTGTTCAATACACGACTGGACACAGGAGCCGCCAATTGGGGAGCAGGGAGACAATCACAAGGGAGGGAGGAAGAACCCCCTGTTGGGAGGGAGGGGGGGGGGTGAAGCCAAACCAGGGACACGAGAGGCAGGAAAGTACTAAACAAAACTGCAACAACCCAAACAGCGTGACAGACTCCTTCCTGCAGCCCTTTGCTCAGGCAGCAGAATGAGCCATTCATCAAAGTGAGCCTTGGAGGAGGCTGAGGGAAGGATGTGGAGGTGTGTAGTGTGTGTGTGTGTGTGTGTGTGTGTGTGTGTTGTGGCAAAGAGATCAAACCTCCTCTCAGCAATGAGTGATCCTAAGCCCTAGATTGGAGGTGCAGAGTGAGGAGAACGATGAGAAAGAGGAAAAACGGGAGCGCAATCAGATAATCGCTCTGCCTTAATTCATATGCCGAGTCTTGCCCATTTAAAAAAAAAAAAAGGAGGAGAAAGAAAATCAATGGCCCTGAACACTTAATTCAGAGTCATGAATGTTGCATGAAGAAGACGGCGTGTCCTTTTCGTGGGCACACGTGGATTTAAGGAGAAAACGCTGAGCAGCTTGAAGAGCAGTCTTGCATGAAAACTCCATTTAGGGTTACGAAGCGGCCCCGTCCTACAAAAGACCAACATCTCTCAACACGGCCCCTAATGCCGGCTTAGATGGAATTGGGTTCTTTTTTTTTTTTTTTTTCCTCCCTCCAACGTGGACACACAAGAGTTCCTATAAATGATACATCCGAAGCCCCGGAGCGAAACGCACATCCGACGACTCGGATTTCAACCCAGAATCAATATCTGGGCAAGTTGTTTCTGTTGGGCGGCGACGATTAATCAAAGCTTAAATCGCACAGCGAATGAAACTGTCCGGGGCAAAATAAATAAAAACTGACACCACGGAGCAAATGGATGCACTGCCGGCGTGACAGAGTCGCTACAGGCCGCGAGGTAGACATGGAACGCGCTTGGTTGATCGTGTGTGAGAGAGGTAACCCGCGCTCACGCAATGGGGGGGTACATAGCCACACAGCGTGT